ATACTATTCTGGGAATCTCATTAACATTTCAATGACTTAATATCATTAGAGTCAAAAATCGTGCCCTGAGCAGGGACATGTGTCTCTTTGTTTGTGAATATTACAGATATTTTCCCCTAGTCCTGATTACTTACCCATTGTCAGGAAAAAAAGTAGCCCCTTAATTTCAAGTATCAGCAATTCTCAGTTTATTGAGATTTAACTTTCAAGTATAATGAGTACAGTTCTCTAAGGACCATTCTTTTATTTTTTTCCCATTATAATTTTGGTCAGAGTTCAGTCATTTTATGGCATCTTACATGTCCCCTGGGCGGTCTGGAAACACAATAAGCCTCCACTAGATTTAAGGTTAGTCTGAAAACTAGAAATAGTGCCATTTCCATTATTTGGACAGATCTCCTTTCCCTTTCTGTGACCCAGTTCTCCCATCTGCAAAACAAAGGTGGTGAGTGGGGTGTACCTTCCAAGTCCTCCCACTGTCAACACCCCACATGTCTATGATGTTGGCCTCTCCTTTTCCTGCCCACGTTTTCACATCATAAGAAACCTGTGCCACTTCCATTTGTCATAGACTTTCACTGAAAACCTAGCTGCCCAGGAAGGCCAGATCTTGTAGCCTCGGTTGCTATTTAAATCGCTGTCAGACCAGAGAATTTTCATTTAAAATTATATTTTGTTAATCCATCATGTGGATGTGGAGCTTGCTATTTTTAATCCAGGCCCTACAGAGCCCAGTTATTCATGGCTGAGAGTTTGCCACAGAACCTCGGAGCTGTGCTTAAAAACAAACAGCTCCGGAGAAGCAAGATGAAGACTTCTCATAGTAACAAGATTCAGGAGTGGGGCAGGGGAGGGTCACGTTCTGCCTGGAAGCTGGACTACATAGGCAGCTTCTCTGACCCACTTGATGCTACAGGGGTGAGAGAGAAGGATGGATCTTCGTGCCTCTTCTGATGGCAAACTCCAGTGGCCATTCGTGAGGCATTTGTCAAAAACTCCATAAATGTTGGGACCAGCACATGGTGTAATTGCTATGTTGCTGGACTCCCATGTAGTTGACCGCAGTTTGAGTCCCGGACACAGTGGCTTAAACTCACACCAGGCGCGTGTGCATGCGTGCCCAAGATCCCGAGAAGAGAATGGAGGAGAATGGAGAAGAATGGAGGAGAAGGGACTGCGGTGTGGCCATCCCCCCTGGGGGGTGATTTCTCACTTTCTTTCTCTAAGTCTCTCTCTGTCTGGCGAGCGCACACGCCCCATAGTGAAAATCTCTCTAAAAAAAAAAAAAAAAGGTTGGCTTAGTTTGCCATGCAGCTATTGATACATTGATACATTCTCTAAATACATGGGCTCATTGGGAGTCGATGAGTCATAGAATTCTGATCTGGCTGATGGAAAGTAGAACAGACAATGAAGAACAACAAATCATTTGTGACTCACTCATTCAAAACACCCAAGGCCCAGAGTTAAGGTATAATCAGGTGTGGGTAATTTCTGCTGACTGTGCCCTCCCTGCACCTGCAGATATCACTAGGAAAGGCAGCAACAAGGCAGAGCAGCGCCTCGTTCATCCTATTAGACAGTAACAAAGAAAAAGTGTCTTAATTTTTTTGCTGCCTAAGTATTTTTAATTATTTTTTTTCACTTTATTTATTTTAATTTGACCAGAGAAAGCGTACACAAGTGGCTAGGTCTGGGACTCAAACTGCGGTCAGCCATGTGGGAGTCCAACACCCTTGACCACTGCACCCCCTGCCGGCCCCAGCCTGAAGTGTTCTTAATTGTGTTAGGTTAGAGGTGAACTAGAACAGTGTGATGCATGCACAGTGCCTCAGTCAGCTGTCGTAGAGGTGCTTGCTGTTGATCAGGAAAGCAGCCCTGACGGGCAGCAGATGAGCTTGTGCCGGAGTTGCACCCACTGGTGGGGCTTGTAGTCCTGGCCAGGGAAGTCTCAGGATGAGAAGCCAGGGCAGCGAAGCAGAGCTGCAAAAGCCAGAAGTAGCTTCTGCACTAGTGTACCCCCATGTAGGGAGGCAGGTGTCCTCCCTCTTTCCTACAGAGTGAATGACAAAGCCTATTGCAAAGAGGAAGCCCAAAGCACTGCCCTAAGGGTGTCTGTGTGCGCCTTACAAATAGACCTTCAGCCAGTTGTAAAGGTAGTGCACAATGTGGTTGGGGTAGGTCTTTGGAGCACAGAGGAGGACAGAGACTTTGCCTTCCTCCTGCAACTTGCTTGGATTGCAGCCGGTTCTCCCTTGTCGTCAGTTCTATCCTGGGATACCTTTTTTTCTCTAGGTTTTCTTCCATCTCTTCCCGTGTGCATGTGTGTGTGTGTGTGGGGGGGGATGGTGTGCGTGTGGGGTTAGCAGAGATATTAACTGGTATGCCAAAATTCTTCATCCCCTGCAAATTCAATAGAGGACCCTGCACAGGGCCAAATGCTACGGGAAATATGAATATGAGTAAGACATAGTCTTTGTCCTCCAGAATGACATAGTCTTGGGACCAGCAGATGGCATAATGGTTATATTGCTGGACTCACATGTAGTGGACTAGTGGATTGCGGTTTGAGTCCCAGACCTGGCAGCTTAAAACTCAAACCAGGAGCATGTGTGCGCGTGCCCAAAATCCTGAGAGGAGAATGAAGGAGAAGGGATTGTGGCCTGGCCATGCACCCTGGAAGGGAGTGGGGGGGGGTGATTTTTTGCTTTCTATCTCTCTGGTGAGTGCATGCACCCTATAGCAAAAAAATCTCTCTCTCTGAAAAAGACATAGCCTGGAACTTGCATTAACTGTAATAAAACAAGCTTGGAATTCATCATGGTCATGTGAAAGATTCTGAAAAAGTGTTCTGGAAGAAGAAAAGGTTGCCACTAGCTTGGGGGGAGGGGCTTGGAGATACTCTCAGAAAAAGGCAGGTATGGAATTGACTTTGGTATGAAGCTGGAAAGGGCTTAAAAAGGAGAGGCATTCCAGGGGGATGCCTGTGGTCAGATCTGTATTTCGTGAAGATCACCGTGGCAACAACATAGAGACTAAGTGTGGAAAATAGTTATTTCATAACAATAGTAGAAGCTAATAAAAGCTGACCTCTGATAAGTACTTATGATGTCAGCCTTTGTACTAAGCAATTTTATTTCATGACACCCTTAAAAAATATCTTTTGTGGGACCAGCAGTTGGTGTAATGGTTATGTCGCTGGACTCCCACGTAGTTGACCGCTGTTCGAATCCCAGACCCGGTGGCTTGAAACTCTTGCTGGGCACGTGTGCATGTGTGCCCAAGATCCCTAGAGGAGAATGGAGGAGAAGGGATTGCAGCGTGACCATCCCCCCCGGGGGGGGCGTGACTTCTTGCTTTCTGTCTCTCTGTCTCTCTCCATCTTTCTGGCAAGCGCACGTGCCCTATAGCAAAAACCTCTCAAAAAATATCCTGTGTGTGACCAGCAGATGGCACAATGGTTACGTAGCTGGACTCCCCACATGTTCAGCAGTGGTTTGAGTCCTACACCTGGAGGCTTAAAACTCTCTCCAGTGCATGCTGAAGATACTGAGAGAAGGGATTGCAGTGGGCCCATTCCCCCAATGGGTGATTTCTCGCTTTCTGTCTCTGTCTCTCCAGCGAGTGCATGCACTTTACAGCAAAAATCTCTTTTAAAATGTCCTGTAAAACATCAATTATTATTATTCCCATTTTACCTAGGAACACGTGATCAGGTCTGAGAAAATTTGTATTCTTGGCCGTGAGAACCCAGGTAAGAAAACGAAAAAGGCCTGATTTAAATCAGATCCGTTTTGGTGGATCAGTGAGGTAGATTACCTTTGTTTCTAAAAGTCAGGGTCCCTGAGGGGCCAGTGATTAATATTTGGTGCTAAGAGCCAGTGGGCCTCCTGTTAGAGTCATGTAGTTCATAAACTCTAAAACCTCTTTGAAATCCAGAAGAATCATGACTTAGACTGAATCTGCCTTGTCATGTAAGCTTAACTCCATGGCAGGAACCCTGTCCTCTGGTTTCTCACCGTCCACTCCGCACTCTGGCAACTAGTGGGTGCTGGAAGTCTGTTGAGTAAGAAAGCTCTCACCTCGTCATTCAATAATCATTGGAACCTGAACAATGTCTTCTGTTTCCCCCTCCCCCACACTTTAGTTTTCCGGTATTTACATCAGGGAACGTTGGACTACCATGAACTCATTATCCTTTGAATAAGTTGTTACCCAAATCTAAGTTGTTACCTAGCCCAAAGGTAGGGATACTTTAGCGGTTAATGGGAGTGTCTATACAAGACAGGGTGGGTATTCCCTTTTTTTTTTTTTTTGATATACTTAATCCTACGATGTTTGGCAATTTATGCAAAAAAGCGCAGAAGATAGGTTTCACATTCCTTAAGGTGGGTCCATTCACTATTTAAAAGTATGAGTGTTCGTGGGATAGAGATGGAAACGCGCCTGTGGAGATGTCCTAGCCCAGGACACCGCCCTTAGAAATCGGAAGAAGTCTTCAATGCGCTAGGCTAGCCCTGCCCCCAAACGGGGGTGGGGAGAGTTGGTTGGAGGAAAAAATACGTCCACACTGGGCGCGTGAGCCCGAGTACAGACTAGCAAGTGGCACAGGCGTGCCGACCTCTGTCATTTATTTTTCTTTCCACCGGGTGCGCTGTCCCTTTAAATGGGGACGCTGGTGCTGGCTCCGTAACACCGGAGCCGGCAGCTTGTTGATTTCAGAGCTGGTGAATTTCACATTGTTTCCACTTCACTTTCCTCGCCCGGAGGGAGGTTCGCGTTGGCGCTACGACCGCTGTCGCCACTGCCAGGGAAGGCCAGGGGAGGGCAGGGAGGCGCAGCATCAGAGCGGGCGTCGGGCCGGAGGAAAGGGTGTCGGGGCCACACACGCACTCTCGCTGCAGTCCGGCTCCTCCCGAAGCCCGGACGCCGGGAGCGCGCGGAGC